TTGGAGATTACTGCGTGTGTTGCTCTTACGTCCATCATGGCACTGTATTTAAAAAAAACTAAGTTTTTCCTGTCACAGGTGAGGCATGTATATAGTAGGCATATAAAAAGACGCGCCTATTCGAATGCAACATTGTGTCAAAATTTCAAAGCAATCGGTAAAGAGGTTTTGAAGATTTTCCTCTCATGAAAAACACATAAAAAACACAGTTTAAAAAAAAATGTTTTTTTTTTTCCGTCACAGACATGACAGCTATATAATATGTGTATAAAAACCCGCTCTGATGCGAATGCAACGTTGTGTGAAAATTTCAAAGCCTTCGGTGAAGAACTTTCGGAGATTATCGATTATGTGACAAACGAACATTTCCATTCAATATATATATATATATATATATATATATATATATATATATATATATATATATATATATATATATATATATATATATATATATATATATATATATATAATATATTTATTATATATATATATATATATATCACTCTTGCATTACACCTAACTGCATATTTACCTGGCTAATACATAACATTTATGTATACCTGACCCACACGTATCACGCACACTGCCAAGTGTCACCTGACACGGTAACTGTGCCAAATAATGGCTTGGGGTCCGGGGCTAATTTACCAATCACGAAGGAAGTCAGGTAAGTGAGAGAGTTGACGTGGGACGAAGCCAAAGATGGTTGAAACATATTGTTGTGAATATGAAGCCTTGGCTTATGTGAGTGATTAAAAGATGATCTCGAACAAACGACTCGTTTTTTTACTTGCTCGAGACTCTCAGTGGATGTGATTTAATAGGGTGTAACAAAGCGTTTATCTTAGACTTATGTGAAACGTCTAGGGGGATATGATTAAGATGGTCGTTAGTGAATAGTTTGTCTAGACATTAAACTAGAGGGTTATCTAAGATGCATTCAGTTTGATTTAATTTACCCAGCCGTTATCACGAGTGTTCCCAACGTCACTAAATTGTTGTACTAAACTGCCTGAACCTAATCGACCCGTGGACCCGCGAACATAAAGCGGGACATCACGTCAATTTCGCGAGCCGCTACATATTTATTACAAGAGTTTTTAGACATAAATAAATTATACGTCAAAATGCGTTGTGCTAATTAAGAGAACGGGCTGTGTTACAAGCACTCCATGGACAATTTGTCTTTCTTGTTAATTCGAAACTTTTCTCGGTGTGTTCATGTTCTGCAAACAAAATATTAAAATAAACTGAAAAGTCTCTTGGTAACTTAAAAATTTAACGTAATGAATAAATTTAAAGGATTCTACAGTTTACCCTTAACAGTTTGGCAAATATTCTCTCCTGCTATCCGGTAAAACTACAGGTTCCCCCTCCCCCTCCCCCAGGTAAATCATTGACCTTCCCAGGATACAACCCCAAAACAACTACCTAGCATCAGGGCACACCTATTAACTGCTAGGTGAACAGTTGCAGTAGATGAAAAGAAAAAATTCCTAGCTGTATATTCTGCCCTGCCTGGGAATTGAACCCCGGAACCCCTCGGGTTTCACATCCAAAGATGTCTCTAAAGAAGCAAAAATTGTGTACTTGCTGCACAGAAAATATTTGTTAATACTATTTCTCTCATTAGAGGGTGCTAGAGACGTGATGCGACCCGCACGCACGAGAGGCCATTTATTACTGGAAAATGAGTCTCAAATTGTCCAGAATTTCTGTCGAACGCTTGACCGAGAGAAGTGTTAAAACACTGGGAAAGGTTTAGATGAAAAACAGTCACTTATTAACAAAGTATTTTGTGTTAGAGAAAGGTCAGCTTTGATTCAGTGAGGTGCGGTAATTATGCATAAAAGATATTTAAGACCTTTTAACGGGACGTTCGTTAAGCGAAGTATATCTTCGCCTCGCGAGGTATATCGGCCCAGAATTATATGCCTTGAAGAAGGTGATAAATTATACAATTGAGAATAATTAACATCATTCATACCGACTCCAAATCATCGCTCCAGGCATTGTTATCCAGCCAGCATAGAGATAATATACAAAGCATCACAGAAATCCTACATATAACTCCAGGTTTTTCACAGATTAAGAAGCTAATCAAGAAGAAAATACTCAAGAAGTATGGTGTTTTCGCAGTCAACTGTCAAAAGTCGCCACAAAGCCAGAGAAGCGGAAGGAAGTCCCACTGCGATGTGGTACGAACAAGCCACTGGGTACTACTCTTTTTAAGCCTGGCAAAATATATCCAGAGACATTGCAGTAGTCATACACAGACTTGGTTAAAAGTGCTGCTGGGAGGTAATGAATCCAATAGTTAAGAGTGTCATATCTGTGGAACAGACGCAGAGGCGCCACTATTGCATTATTTACTAGAATGTGAAGCTACTGAAGCCCTGCGCATCATACTCAACATTAATCCTACGACAGCAGCTGCATTAGATGCAAATTCCACAGCGGCTTCAATGATTAGGAAAGCAGTTGAAGAATGGGATTCACTAGTGAACATTCTGCATCTACATCTGCCACCAAGACAAGGTTAGTGAATCAAGACTAAACAAGACCAGTGCGCTAGAACAAAAACGAAAAAAAAACACGGGGTAAAGGAGAAAACCCCACCTCCATTTAAAACTTTGATCCAAATATCAGGGTAATAAAGTTATCGCGAATAACCGAACTCAATTACGGGCTCACTATAGTCCGTGCTACATGGACATTTCGTTCTGAGTACCTTAATTTAAAACAACAACAGCAACAACGAATATCGGCCCTGGGAGAAGTTGTTGACTTGTTGAAGTTGTTGATAATTAAGTTGAAGCAAGCGCCGATGATAGATTATTATCAGGATAAATATATTGTCTATAATATATAAATATATACCCACAATGCAAGGTTTACCATGAGCTATGAGAAGGGCAAGCTACCTGTCTTCAGGGTGGAGATCCCCTCCAAGAAATGGACTGGAAACAGTCCATTCTGAGGACGGGCTGGCCTGCTAACAGGACTCCTGTACCCACTGGTGAAGGACAAATATATCCTTGTTTAACCAAATTTATGTTAGTGACTTTTCGCAGTGTAAATAGCTGCTGTACAATAATATCTACAGATGCAGAATGGTATATTTCTTATTTAGCCGTAGTCATTAATGTTTGAAGTTCCTTTCGTGACAGTTTTAGCAAAAAAACTCTCTAAAAGAGAGTTTTAGTGTTAATGGTTATTTAATATTTAATGACATGCAGAACAATATAAAGATATCAAACAATTTTTTTTTTTTTTTTTTTTTTTTTTTTTTTTTTTTTTTTTTTTTTTTTTTTTTTTTTTTTTTTTTTTTTTTTTTTTTTTGAGATATATACAAGAGTTGTTACATTCTTGTACAGCCACTAGTACGCGTAGCGTTTCGGGCAAGTCCCTGGAATACGATCCCCTGCCGCGAAGAATCGTTTTTTCATCCCCGTACACAATTTTACTGTTGCGTTTAAACAGAGGCTACAGTTAAGGAATTGCGCCCAGTAAATCCTCCCCGGCCAGGATACGAACCCATGACATAGCGCTCGCGGAACGCCAGGCGAGTGTCTTACCACTACACCACGGAGACTGAATTTAGAAAAGATTTGACAATAGACAATATATTTATCCTGATAATAATCTCTCTGCTGCGCTTGTCTCAACTTAATTATCTGCGAAGCTGGACAGAAATGCTCTATTGGACTCCAAGGTTAATTATAGAGGCTTTGGTAGCCAAGTGAGTGCGACGTTGTGCTTGGCTGCTTGGTGTATGGTTCATCTTGTCTGGCTGTTTGGTACTCACCTAGTTGTATTCACCTAGCTGTGCTGGCGGGGGTTGAGCTTCGGTTCTTTGGTCCCGCCTGTCAACTGTCAATTAAGTAATGTACAGCTTCTTCAGCCTATTGGGCTCCTTCATATCTGCATTTGAAACTGTGTATGGAGTTAGCCTCCACCACATCACTGCCGAATGCATTCCATTTGTTCGGATGCAAGGTTTACCATGAGCTATGAGAATAGCTGCTGAATGTCGGAGCAAATCACTCCGACACTGAAAAAAAATCTAATGACTCTGTGGCTCATTTAGGTACTAAGCTTACACCTGTGTCCCCTTGTTCGAGATCCGCCAATGCTAAATAGTTTGTCTTTGTACAGCCTGTCAATTCCTCTGCAAATTTTGTAAGTGGTGGTCATATCTCCCTTTGCTCTTCTGTCTTACAAGGATGTGAGGTTTAATTCCCGTAGCCTTTCCTCGTAACTCATACCTCTCATCTCTGGGAGCAGTCTGTTGGCATACCTCTGAATCTTCTCTATCTTTGTCTTGTCTTTAACTAGGTATGGACTCCAGACTGGAGCTGCATACTCTAGGAATGGTCTGATATATGTGGTATACAAAATTTCGGATGATTCATTACTCAAGTTTCTGAAGGCAGTTCTGATGTTGGCCAATCAAGCATATGCCGCTGATGATATTCATTTGATATGGGCCTCTGGGGACAGGTTCGCTGTAATATCAACCCCCAGATCTTTCTCCCTATTTGACTCTTGCAGAATTTCACCTCCCAGATGGTATCTTGTGTTCGTCCTTCTATTAATTTCATTACTTTACACTTACTTGAGTTAAACATTAGAAGCCACTTTCTACACCATTCCTGCAGTTTGTCCAGGTCGTCTTTGGTGTATGGTTCATGCTTTGGCTGCTTGGTGCAGAACTCACACTCTTGTCTCAACACTCGAAAAAATCCAGTTGAAAAGTCTTCTCATCCCACCTAAGAGTGGGGTGACCTAACCTCTACTGAACTTGCGTCATTCAAACAACAATGTGCCCAATGTCCTTTGAATAGACTATGAAGCAGGACCATGTAGTTTAAACAAACGTCGTGATTATTGTTCTATCGTGGTGGCACAGTCGGCCTGGTGGCACAGTCAGCCTGGTGGAACAGTCGGCCTGGTGGAACAGTCAGCCTGGTGGAACAGTCGGCCTGGTGGCACAGTCAGCCTGGTGGAACAGTCGGCCTGGTGGAACAGTCGGTCTGGTGGCACAGTCGGTCTGGTGGCACAGTCGGTCTGGTGGAATAGTCGGCCTGGTGGAACAGTCGGCCTGGTGGCACAGTCAGCCAGGTGGAACAGTCGGCCTGGTGGAACAGTCGGTCTGGTGGCACAGGCGGTCTGGTGGAATAGTCGGCCTGGGGGCACAGTCGGCCTGGTGGCACAGTCGGCCTGGTGGCACAGTCGGCCTGGTGGCACAGTCGGTCTGGTGGCACAGTCGGCCTGGTGGCACAGTCGGCCTGGTGGCACAGTCGGTCTGGTGTCACAGGCGGTCTGGTGGCACAGTCGGTCTGGTGGCACAGTCGGCCTGGTGGCACAGTCGGTCTGGTGGCACAGTCGGCCTGGTGGCACAGTCGGCCTGGTGGCACAGTCGGTCTGGTGGTACAGTCGGCCTGGTGGCACAGTCGGTCTGGTGGCACAGTCGGCCTGGTGGCACAGTCGGTCTGGTGGCACAGTCGGCCTGGTGGCACAGTCGGCCTGGTGGCACAGTCGGCCTGGTGGTACAGTCGGCCTGGTGGCACAGTCGGCCTGGTGGCACAGTCGGCCTGGTGGCACAGTCGGTCTGGTGGCACAGGCGGTCTGGTGGAACAGTCGGCCTGGTGGCACAGTCGGCCTGGTGGCACAGTCGGCCTGGTGGTACAGTCGGCCTGGTGGCACAGTCGGCCTGGTGGCACAGTCGGCCTGGTGGCACAGTCGGTCTGGTGGCACAGTCGGTCTGGTGGCACAGTCGGTCTGGTGGCACAGTCGGTCTGGTGGCACAGTGTTACGTACTCAGCCTGTGTTTCATAGGTATACCAGTTTCACAGGCTGCCAGGGAAGGCAGCTTCAAGTGACGGAATTTCTCATTTAGTGTTTCTATCAATTAGTCAGTAACTACAGGCTTTAATAAGATCATTATTACAGGAGCGATGTGAAAACTGTTTGTGGCCATTATTAACACATCTCAAGACATTTTGTTTTTTAATTGCAGAGACTTGCACAGTCTAGTCCAAACATTCGTAAATAATAGTGCAGTAGACTTCCACGTGAGCCCAATTAGTAGCAGGCAGAATATGAAGCCAATAGACGATATCGGTCTCAACATTGCGACCCTTCTCGCGCCTTAAGGTGATACATAAAAGGTTGACACTTATGTATCATCTTATGAGCGGATAAACGCTTTATGTGCACCTCCAGTCTGTCTCTGCGGGGCGGCTTCTTTACCACTGAGGGTAAATACACCTCCCTGAATTTCTACTTTCCTAACGTCAGACACACTAGGTCTACAAACTTTTTTCTGGTGTAACTCACACTGCCAATTTCTTGAAATGGCTCCAGTATCACAATGACGAGGCAACACGCACGAGAGAAACCGAGCATTGTCTAATCTAGGGATGCTGGTGTCCAGGTTTCTCCTGCCCTCCCATTTAAAATGTACCTGTTGAGTTTTTGCGTTGCTGTGGCAATTATAATTCCCGGGATTAATACTACTGTAAGTCTCATACAGCAATAATTAACTTTGTATAGATATGGGATGGTCCATAAGAGGAAATAATCATTGCTTTGGATCTCACTGGTATTTAGACAACATTGTTCCAGGGACGCTTACGTTCGTCCAGTACATAATTCATGTCTTGGTTCCCCGTGTATAGCAAGGCATTTACCACCATTTGAAATCCGCCGTTGCGTGGAAGTTCAAATGGCCTGAGACAGAGACACCGAGCTCATATAACATTTACCAAGTCAGAGGAGTTAATTCATTTGAACCGGTCGGGAAAGCAACACCAAGAGCGTTCAATTCCCCGATGGTCAAAGTAGTTTGGCCTGTTCCAACACTCCTACTTCAGCACCTATCCTCTCCCCGGATCTCTTCCAAGTGATAGATACTCATACAGGCTTAGTGCTTTCTCACAATTATCACAACACCCTATAGGGCTCCAAGGGTGTTGTGATTTAATTTGATTTCTATATTATGTACCCCATACCTTTCCCGTGGGCGGCGGTGGAAACGGTTACAGAGGCACATATTGGGCTCAGGAACTGAACCCCAGAGTTCGTTTAGCTCAGCAAGTGACAATGTTGTGAAACTAGTTACACAATTGTTAATATTTCATACACTTGAACTGTATATACATTCATGTACACAAATACATATATAACATATATTACAAATATTTTACAAATTACAAATACAACAATACATATATAATATAACACAGTGATTCACCAAGAGGCTCACCACAGACCCAGTACACAGCACTCTAACATCTTAGGTCAAGAGAGAGAGAGAGAGAGAGAGAGAGAGAGAGAGAGAGAAGAGAGAGAGAGAGAGAGAGAGAGAGAGAGAGAGGGAGAAGGGAGAGGGAGAAGGAGAGGAGAGAGAGAGAAGAGAGAGAGAGAGAGAGCGAGATAGAGAGAGGTAGAGATGAGAGGGAGAGGGAGAGAGGAGAGAGAGAGAGAGTAGGAGAGAGAGGAGAAGAGAGAGGAGAGAGAGAGAGAGAGAGAGGAGAGAGGAGAGAGAGAGAGAGAGAGAGAGAGGAGAGAGAAGAGAGAGAGAGAGAGAGAGAGAGAGAGAAGAGAGAGAGAGAAATCCCGACAACACTTCTCTGTTACACACCAGTTCATTCACTTTTCGGTGTCAGTCTCCACTAGAGTCCTAATGGAGAAAGAAGTGACCTTCAACTATCAAACAATTCCAGAAGTTTGACAATATAGGTCACATATATTTCAAGAATGTGTCAAGTATGTTCTTGACACATGTCAGAGTCTCAAGAACATTCAGGTGACAACCACACTCCACAGCTCCCGCCAACAGACAGATACACTCAGCTTTCTGGACGTCATAACAATATGTCTGTTAAGATACTATCCAGGGAACTTTAGGTAGTAATTAATGACATATGTTTCTAATTCCCTCGGCTACTCAGAACCTGGTAAATGTAGCCAACCACCCACAAATTACCCGAGTCACTTGAGAGATGAATATAGCATTAAAACAAAATAAAAACATATATATATATATAAAATTTCTTTACGTTATGTGGTTAAATTTCCACGTCAGTTTCTTGGCTCAGTATTCCTACACAACGCTCAAGCCCTGCCTGGCGTGGCCGGCTAGCGCCAAGGTTCCCTGGACATGTCATGATGCAGTCCACAGACTTAGTAAGTTACAAGGGTTTAAATCGTGTATGTGGGGTCGCATATTCTCCAGAATGTTGGTTCCATGTTGGTGGTGTGACTTTACTCCACAGTACGGTCCCTTGCTCCTTAGTTTGTTGCCAGAGTGTATGTCATTCATGGGCACGGAGGGAGGAGAATATGTGTGTATATATATATATATAATATATATATATATATATATATATATATATATATATATATATATATATATATATATATATATATATATATATATATATATATATATTTAATGAGAAACTTGAAAAAAAAACAAACTGGACCAGGATTCATGAAGACTTTTCGATCTACTTACGAGCTATGTACATAATTTCCCTAATCTTAGCAGCTCGTTTTTAAATTTATTAAGCAGTTTACGAGCTCTGGGATTTCTCAACCCAAAGTTATTATTGTTATAAACAACCTCTTAGTGCTTCAGAGCTGATAAATTGCTGAATAAATATAAACAAAGCTGCTATGCTTGAGTTAAGATGTAGAGGTTTCGTAAGTGGTTACGTAAATACTTGATGAATCCTGTCTGTGCTAACTGTTGGTCAATCGTAAGATAATCACAGCTTCACTTGATTTAATCACAGCTCTGGCTGCACGGCTTAACACACTCTCGTAATTACAGTTTCCAAACTCCCCTTAATCCCAGGAGCTTGGAAATGCAGTGGTGACAAACTTCGCCCGCGCTAAGAACCCTGCTGTTGAAATGTTCCACAAATCTGTCATTGTATTTATACCTCTGATAAATTGTCGAGAACTCCCTGATAATATATATATTGTCCCGTAATTACCCTTCATTGCCGAGTATAACCTGCTTCCTCCAATTACATGTATGACATGGTGAACATCATTCAAGATGTATATACTTGAGCGTCTAAAAATGTCTATAAAGTATCTATAAAGTGTCTATAAAGTGAATATAAAATCACCTGAGCGTGAGACGCCTGTCAACTGCCTTGCGCACCTGGTAAAGTGATATTATAGCTGCAAGCTTTCTGTCGATCCCACCGTTGACAGACACGTGACGTCATTGGACGTAAATAAATACCAGTGGCCCGGGTGTCCCACACAGCACCGCTCCTGTGCCAGGTAAGTCCACTACTGGCTCACCATAGCCCGTGCTACTTGCCCCGCTCCTGTGCCAGGTAAGATAAAGGCTCACCATAGCCTGTGCTCCTTGGAACTTGTTCCGAGTAGCTGAATCTACAACAACGGGTGTTCCACAGTTACAACCCCGTTCCTGTGCCAGGTAAGTCCACTACGGGTTCACCATAGCCCGTGCTATTTGGAACATTTTGTTCCCGGTAGCTGAATCTTAAACAACAACATCAACCAGTGTCCCAATTTAGTCTCTTCAGGTGCTCTCAAGGGTCAACATCTCGAGCTGTCACTGACCTGTGATCATTCCCCAGGTTGTGACGTTGTGGTAACTCTATCTGTAGCCTCCTTGTTAGTATATAAATTGCTTCAATTTTTTTCTTCCGAGTGTAGAGTTCATTTTCATTAATGTTTCTTATTGATTCCGTGAACACGCCAAGCTGTATGTCTTGCATTGAAGGTAATTATTTTTAATTATATTAAAAGTGTTTATATTTTTCTTGAGTATTTTTCTGATACTTTAATTCTTGTCTGTCATATTTACACCGCAAAAGTCAAATGCTGTCTTTTATTTAAATTATGTCTTTATGTTACATTGAAGCAAACTACATCTGCTGGGTATTACCGCAGTACCTTTTCACAGTATTTTAAATATATATATTATATATATATATATATATATTAATATATATATATATATATATATATATAATATATATATATATATATATATATATATATATAATATATATAACTGAAAACTCACACACCCAGAAGTGACTCGAACCCATACTACCAGGTGCACTTTGCAACTGGTGTACAGGGCACCTTATCCACTCGACCATCACGACCGGACAAAAGCTGATGGTAGCCGAGGCTATTTGCCCATCAGCCCGCCGGCACTCTGATGGTAATCTTGGGCATGCTATTTTATCAAATCACCTTATTCTTTGGGGCACACGTGAGGAACACAAATGCGAACAAGCCTGAATGGTTCCCAGGCATACATGCACCAAATATACATATATTTATATATATATTAGTATATTTTGGTAGCAGTCTTTCTTGTAAACATATGTTGTTAAATATGACCGAAAAAGTAAGATTAATAATTCTAACACGAATTTTCTCAATATTTCTTATGTTTCTTTTTACTGTCGATGGTAATGGAAAAATCAATTCTTCAAAATTCCTTTTTATTTCTAGTCTGACGCGACGCTTGAACGCGTTTCGTAATAACTTATTACATTTTCAAAGACTTTAATTTACACACACACAACTGTAACCTGAAAACAGAGTTTTACTTACAATGTTAACATTGAACAGCTTGTCTTATATACTCGCATTTGGGTGAGGTGATATGTTGCAACAGTTTTGGATGAGGTGAACAAACTTTTGATCAACACAAGACAGAACACGGGGCAATGGGTATAAATTGGATAAATGAGAGGAAAGAATGGAAGTAACTGTAAAGGGTCTATTGGCC